TTGTTCTCATTCGCCCCGTGGTTAATTTGCCCTAACATGCATTCGCACAGTGGCTTGTTGAAATACTTGCACCAGTCGTACAGCAGCGAACACACACTACAGCCTACATAATGGCTTTCAATTCATTGAGAACATCAAATATTACAATATTAAGGAGAGAAAGTAATGATCTCCCTTGACGTTGTTTCCCTTTTCGCAAACCTTCCTCTGCTGCAGATAGTCGATTACATATATGTGACCATATAGCGAATTCACGAATAGAGCTATGTGTGTGTGTGTCCAAGTGCGTGCGTTGAAGCGCCTCCTTTTGTGGCGTACCTGTAATAGAGAGGTAAGCGGAGCCAATGCCCAGATACGGGGTCGCGCGCAGGCGTACCGCGGAGCACGTGAGCTGTCTGCTGCATGCGAAGGTCACTAGCACGAGCGTGGAAGGACCTTCGACTGTTTTGCCAAATTTGGGAATCGGGTGCAAACTGATTGACCAGCAAATACAAGCCCGAGTCAACGGAGGCGAACCATTCTGCCAAATATGGAAAATCCGTGGGACGGAATTAACTCACATTGGCTGAGAGCCAAACGCTTCCAAAATTAGTGTTTCGTTCACCAATAAATAGAACTGACCTATCGTGTAGAATAGACTCCCTGTTACCGAGCCTTGGCCTTCTGTATTCCGTCGGTTGGTTGGGCGCGTGACTAAGCAATCAAGCGGTCGTAGTCTTGCAGGCGCAGAACAGCAGCAGTGCAGCAGTACGAAGGCAGCTTTACAACAACCTGGAACGTGTAGTTCCTTTTTAACGGTAAGTACTACGGGCAGAAGTATGGTGTTTCCATGGGATCTCCACTCGGTCCACTGTTGCCTGACATTTTCATGGCGAAATTAGAGTCCACCAGGCTACAAACGGAGGTGAACACCTTTGAATGCTTCCGCCGTTACGTGGATGATACCTTTGTCGTGACTGACAAGTGCATCAACCTATGTAAATTCCTCTACCAGTTTAACCTGGCCTATGCAGCGATGCTGTTTACGTTTGAGAAGGAAACAACTAATCGCTTGCCATTTGTTGCCTTGCCGCTAGTCAGAAGAACAGACGGCTCCATCCAACGTCCTGTCTACCGGAAAATACGTAGAGCGAACAACATGCCAACTTTAACATCTTTCTTCCCCTGCGATATAAGCGAAATCTGATTCACCGTCTAATATCATGGGCACGTAAGATCTGCACAGAAGACATGTCAAATTATGAATTAGCATTCATTCAATATATGCTGTGTGAGAATGGGTACCCCGACAGATTCATTTTTAAAAACATTCAGAAACGTAATCCGGTACCGCTCTTGAAGGTCGAAAAAAAGAACTATCCGTAAGATTGACTTTAAAAGGAGATGCAACCGCAGAACGCTTATCTAGGAGCCTGTCATCTGCAGTTAAATCCACTTTCCCAGCGGTGACCGTGAAATAGACGTTCTCCACCGAACCGCTCAATTGTGCGCAAAACAAGTACACGCCGCCAACGCTGATCGGTTCAATGACCAGCTATCGATTCGAGGGCGCCTGTGGCGCAACTTATGTCGGTCGAACGACGCAGCACCTATCAAAACGCGTCAATGCGCATCACCCACATTGGTTACGTCAAGGTGACACTGGGGCTATTAACTCCATCCTGGCTCACCTTGTCGACACCGGGCATCAAATAGAAATGTGCCGTGTATTTTGGATAATCTGCAGCATCCCGCCGTTGGATTCGAGAGGCTTTCGCCTCCATATGCTTGCAACAGCCGACGCAATCGGTATTCGCTTCTTTCAACCTCTGTTATGTTCTCAAAAAATACTAATCCAGACTCTGCAGTTGTTTTGGCCAGCGGAAGTAGAGGACGCTGACGCCAGTTGCGCTGAATACTGAGCATAAAGAGCGAGCAGATAAAGATCTATGTCGCTCCATTGTAGGTGGATCTAGCACATGCGCGGAATCACGACACTGATTCCGGCGCGGTGGCAGCATATTGCAGCTGCACTACATTTTATCCGGGTGCGATGCACTCCCTATACCTGTAATCCGCAAAGTGCGCGCCAAGAAATTTCTTAAGTTCCGAGGGAAAACGCAACCGCCCATCAGTTCATGAACCTGGCGAGCACGTGATTTGATTCAAGTAAATTAATCCGATCAATTTTACTCCCACTGCTATTTCCCTTATGTGATTGTACTGGTGTAATGAGGAATCACCGAAAACTCACTTGACGAAATTCCTTCAACGGAGTGTTCTCCGGACACCAGAGAGAGTTGTCATCCTCGTCTGAAGCCTTCAACGTATCGGCGAAATGTAGTGGTCAGGTCAGGTCAGATGGACGATAGAGGCTTCTGCCTAACGAGCGTCCAGTTCTTGTACCGGTAAGTGAAGCGGCCCCCGGCACTTCGACGTTGGATTGTCTCTTCTTGCTTCTGCAAAGGAATGAAGCAAGAACAAAAACAATCTCTGCACTTTCATGTGTCAGCATCAAAATACACTACATATTCCAGTACAACTACAATATCTCTGGAAAAAGGATGGACCAACAATTGTCTAAGCCCCTTTTGAAGGCCTCTACGGTCTCCGACTTCACTAAATCAGAAGGAAGTTTATTCCACTAGTTAACTACTCGGTTCGTAAAAAACTTTGCCCTGATGTCCAAACGAGCTCTGTGATGTTTGAGCTTCAGGCGATGCCCGCGCAGATGGTCTGACGTAGCCAACTCAAACAGATGGGTGGAACTAATACCACTAAGTCCCTTTATGATCTTAAACGTCTCTATCAAATCTCCTCTCAACCTACGCCGTTCCAGGGAAAATAATCCTAAGCTACTTAGACGATCTTCGTAAGACTTCCCTCGTTGACCTTCAATCATCCTGGTCGCAAGTTTCTGAATCTTCTCTAGACAAATGATGTCACTCCGGAGGTACGGTGCCAAGGCCTGAACACAATACTCCAGATGTGGCCTAACCACTGCTTTATATAACGGCAATAATCCTTCTGCTTTAGTGTTACTCAGCGCCCTCCTAAGACGAAATAACTCGTGTCGTGCTTTATTGGCAGCATGGCGACACTGTGCCGAAGGCTTAAAATTGTTCGCTACGATGACACCTCATGTATCCACAAAATCTTACTCTTTTTATCCGGTATCACTATAACTGCTTGTATTATATCTATAAATTTTCCTTCCAATTATAAACCTTCGAATCCCTGTAAAACCTGTCATACTTCTTTGTGGGCACAGTTTATCGAAACTTTCACAAGTACCCATGTCATCGATAGTCCTTTTATCTGGGATATTAGTAAACAATGACGTCACATCGAATGAAAATAGCTGCTTGTTATCCACATTTTGACTTCTAATGCTGGTGCTGAACTGGAATGTGTCCAGAAAACTATGGGTGGCTAGCTTCCTCCTCGTTAGTTCCAGTAGTTCTGCTAACCACTTTGGGAACATATGCTACGGGGAGTTACTCATATCTAGCAAGGATTGCGGAGGGGCTCTTCTTTATGTATCTTGGATAATTCATACAGTCTTAGAATAATGGTGCCGACGGAACGAATTCTTTCGCATGTTAGAAAATCAATTAGCCCATTTTGTTTCCTTTGTTTAAGAGATTTAGATATGGGTTTTCCAGTCGTCAAGGTTTTGTGCTTCCCATTGGCTACTTTCACGAACATAGAGGAATCCTAAAATAACGCTTATCTTATGGTAGCATTCCGTTTTTTCCTTAATAACACTACCCGTGCATTTGTCTGGTCTTGATACTATGATCTTTTCATTTTTCTTCAGAACTTTTAGCTTGTCTAAATGCTCTCTTGTCAGCGACTTCCTAGTTGTCGTCGTGTGGGGCATATGCTGTTAACAAAATTGAACTAGAGTCGCCTTAAACTTTTCGACATTAATTCGCTTATGGGCACGAATTCAGTAAACAAATTCAATAATAATAATAATTCAATAAAATTTGAAACCTAGGGATAGCGCTTTAAGTATAGTACTAAGTAACTGCAATGATAAAAGTTTGAGAATATTCCGCTCAGGTTCCTTCGGAAATTCCACTCTGAACTTGGCGTGGCTGATGTGCTTGTTCAGTTCCAGCTCCTTTTCCTGCTATCGTTTTGATGCAATCCGCTGCACGTAATAATCAAATAATGCGTTTTCATCCCGTTAGATGATCCTGCCTCAGCGGTGCACCGTGTCGTTTTCCAATCAATCTGCTTATTTCCACCGTCCACGAATCCCTCCTTTAAGACCAGACTCCATAGTGCTTCCTAGATGGTGTTTACGTGATTTCGTCGGAGCGTAATGAAATAGCTCTTTGGATATTTCCCACGACCGATGCAGTTGGTCAGAAACTGCGAGGGTCGCCCGGTGCCCTACGCAAACTCGAGCCCGCGACCTAAGATTACAAGGCAGGCTTGTGATCCTTAAGGTAACGGTCTACCCCAGCATCGGACTTAACCGCTGGTAGCACTTATTCGTGTGCGGGTAGCCTGGAGCGCCTCGTCGTCTCAGGTTGGCCTACTGTTTACTTTCGCTTAGGTTGTCGTTCATTCCAATCACTGGCATCATATCCAAAATGGGAGAAATTTGTCATGGTCACTTCAAGTGGTGACTACGAAAGCCATGAAAGGATCTGGGTCCCTTAGTTGAATGTAGACACATTTTATGCCGGTTTAATGACCTGTTTTCTTTGCAAGCCTGTAGCCTCTCACCAGACTCAACTGGATTCTGTGGATATCCTGTGTTTTATCATCTTATCCCCTGGGGTACACTTTGCACATAAGGATTGTTCAACATTCTGCTGAACTGCGACTGACCGCCTTGCGTTGCCTTCTGGTACTTCATAGGTTGGCTCACTCTTTGCCTTATGGCATACACCATTGCTCCTTGGCTAGTTCTCTTCTCAAGTCATCTACCCAGCAGGTATATTCCACATTATTCCACTATTCCTCAACAAGTTATCTTTACCTTATACCTTGTTGTTTTGCAGGTTCGCGCTGCTACACTTGACTGTGTGGCTGTCGTTGCACACATTCTGGGTCCAGGCAATTTGTCACCTCTGTTGGCTGCAGTCTCTGAAGCGGACTCACGTCTTTCCACGCAATCATCCACTTCCAAAGATCCCTATGTGACCGAAGTACCGACCAGTGTATCTGCACATAACACTGGTAGCTTATTGGAAGCTGTCCAGCGCCGTTTGGCTCGACGTCAGCTACCCCAGTTAGACAGTCAAGGCCGCGTGATAAGAGGCTTCTCTAGTCCGACTGAATCCGGCCTTTCTACAATCATTCGCAATGGTGGATCTACCGGCTCACTCGACCGTAGCGACAGCGGTATCGCGGCTCTATCTGCCGACCTCGAGACTTGTGTACCAGCCGTCAGTCCGAGGACATCTTCCAACTGTACCATGAGATCCACCGTAACAACTCACCCCACTTCAAAAGGTAAGTCACGAGTTAAGCACTTATTGTTTATTTTGCGTTTTCCTCTTCTATTTACATATAGATCTGCTCGGTTTGCCAGTGAGTCTAGTCGCCTTGTGTTTTATTGGTCTGATATTACACGTACTAAAAATAAAACAGACCAGCAGTGGAAGTAGTGAGGCGAAAAGTAAGCCGGAACATAGTTGAACACGCCAACATCCGGGTTACACAATGTCGCAACTGGAAACCAAAGGTCGCATCCTACAGCGTCACTAAAAGTCAGGCAACGTCAATTTACACACGTTTCATCACCTCTACTGTCTACCTCTTGGCTTCCCACTGCACCTCAGCTTTCCCATGATACAGCTGGCGCCTCCCTTCTTTTTTTCTCTCCCCATTTCCCTCCATATTCTTCCCACCTAGTTCCCAGTTCACCTGACTTAACCTACTTACCCAAACCCTAAGCCCCACTCCAACTCACCACCCGAGCGATTGCCTGACGCAATTGTATGCCTCCATGAAAGCGTTCAAAATCGGGTGCTGATACGTGCGTCAATGTGCGTCCCGGACGATGCGTTATGCTGATCATCATGACACTCGATTTCTACGGTACTGATATTGCCGCACTCAGTGTGAGACGGCTTGCTTACCTAAGCAAGCTGCACGAGGATGGTTCTGGCTATACTCGGAGGGGAACGCGACCACATCACCACGTGAGCATGGGGTTGGATTTGTGCTATCCGACCGCATAAATAGCCAGCTGATGGCAGAATCGATTGACATCAGCTCAAGATTGGTTGTACTTCGTGTACACATTAGGCGTCGTAGGATTGCTACTTTTATTGGCATGTATTGTTCCGCCATGTCATCCTAGTGACACGAGGGATCAGTTTTGCGCTCAGTTGTCCTCCGTGACACGGTCTGTACCGAAGAGCGGCCGGCTATTCCTACTGGACGATTTCAACACACGCGTTGGGCTTTATGCTTCGGCATGAACAGACGTCATCAGACCGTATGACATTGACTCAGCCCATTGGAACGGTAATCGCCTGCTTCTACTCTTCGCCACTCACTGCCTAGCGATCTCAACCACTGGTGACATAGCAACTTGGACGCACCCACGGAGTGGTCACACTCACCTACTCGACTGTGTCATCGCAGGCCAACGTGACATGCCTGAAATGCACCTAACAGGTGTACAGTGTGGAGATGAGCGTGGAACTGATCTTAAGTTTGTGCGGACCAAATCGTACATATATGTTCGTGAATTATTGCATTGTTCCTCTATCATGAAGCCCTAGGTATGTTTTAGAGGGGGATTGAACTGCTAACTGCGATCACTGCCACTCTTGGCGATACCGACTCCATTTCTTCACTCAGCGACCAATGGCACCCCTTCACAGAACCGCTGACCATCGCGATCAGAGAAATGATCGGGCGTGAAATGTGTGCGCCGCAACTGGTTTGATGAAAATAGTGCGACCATTTGTGCATTGGTATGAGTGAATAATGTAGCTTTTGCATGGAATGTGGAGTGCACTGCCGACTTAGTGAAGAGAGTACATTTGCAAATTGCGTAGGTGTCTCAATCGGGAGCTCTGTGACAACAGAAATGTGTGGTGGATGGAGAACACAACGCAAATGTTATGCTACACCGAACGCTGTCAACATGATTAATTCTTCAACTCATTGAAGGCGGTGTATGGACCCACTTTGCAGCCGCTAAGGACGCTGATGGATGATAATTCAGGCGCAGTCTGCACACAGGCTGCAGGCATAATGCAAATCTGGCGAGCGCATTTCGACGGGGTCTTGAGCACCCGTTCAGAGTTTGACTGGCCTATGTTGCACGGGCCACAAAAACAACATATGAAAATGTGTTTTACCGATGCACCGACGTTGCATGAGACGCAGAGAGCACTAGTTCCACTGCGTAACGGCAAGTGCGCCTGTGTCGATGGCATACCGCCAGAAGCGTTGAAACACGACGGACCCACGTTGGTGAATGCGCTGCATCATTTGGTGCAACGTGTGTGGTTTGAAGATGAACTGCCGGTTGACTTGCGGGATGCCTTTATTTTAATACTGTACAAGGACAAAGCTAGCAGGCAATGCTGCATGAATTACCATGGTATCAACTTTCTGCGTTTTGTGGGTAAATTGATCTCACGAATGATGCTCAACCGCCCGCCACTCAGGTTGTTGAACTGAACGCGCCGGAGGAGCAATGTGGATTCCGTTGGAGCCGTAGAACCGTAGATTTGGTGTTCCGGCTCATCAGTTGTATGAACAATGCAGAGAGAAACCAGTCGTTGCACGCTGTTTATAGACTTCACCAAGGCAGTTGACACGGTTAACCGACAATCACTGTGGCTGGTGTTCGGTCAGTTTGGTTGTCTGAGTAAGGTTGTGAGTTTAGTTGAATGTCTACACAGTGATATGCGGGCTTGGGTGCAGCTCTTTGGACAAATGTTGGATGACTTTGCTGTTGTCTCTGGTGTGAAGCAAGGCTGTGTCTTCGCCCCTGTCCTGTACTTTTGACGCTGCTTCTGATTACGGTGTTCATGTGCAGCACCGTATTGATGGTGGCTTGTTGAACATCCGTCGTTTCGGGGTGACAACCCTAGTCTGTGAGACAACTATCCGTATGTTGCTGTTTACAAACGGTTTTGCGTTCTTTGCACGCACTGCGGATGAGTTGCAGCACATGACTTGTGCTCTGTCTTCCACAGCAGCCGAATTCGGGCTCATCATGACTTCTCACTTCGTTCTGTCAATAACAGTTTTGCAGAACATATCGGATTTAATCCGTCATATTCACGAGAGCAGACCACTGATCCTCACCTGTCCTTCATATATGTCCATCAGTTGCAAAAGCGTTCTGTTATTCTCTTTGAGATAGGAGTTATCATGCCGATTTAGATTCATACGAACTTGAGTACTTCTGATACTCATGATTTCCAAATTAACCAGGCACGATTACAGCTGCTGTACACGTTGGAGGAGAGTTGACACCCATCCACATGCTTCCCAGTCTTATTCCTTCGATTTTTGCACTGGACATGGGGTGTGTGTGTGGTGTCACCCATGGTCTCTCACATCCTCTAGCACAGTTTTGCCCTCTTTGTAGTCAGTGAGCAATTTGACAAGCAAACTGCTGTCGTTTTGACGACTATAACGTGCTGGTTTACTCCGAATTGTTATTTCTTGTGCCTTTGGCCTCCATCGCATCGCCATATGGGTAACGCGGGTTCGCTGTTGTAACGCAATGCCACAGATTACCTCCTTGTCGTTAGAGATTTTACTCAAGGTTCTGTCACCTACAGCTCGAACCCAGTTTATTTGAGAGCTTTTGCTAGATGCTCAGCTGATCCACCTTTTGCATGCATTCCTTTTTGTTCAGCCGAGGTAAATGGCTTTGACCGCTCATTTGATTGGCGTGGAGGTAGATTTCAACAGTTTTTTAATCTTAAGATTCGTCCATTATGTTGTGTGGATTAATGTAACTGTTTCCTGGCAAAATTCACCTATTCTGAAGTTTCTCGCTATCGGAGTATAAAACACACCGGTCAAGTAGTGCAGTATTACACGTATGGCATGACTTTATCTCGACTTCATTTTAATACACAGTCCCATGTGGTGATCATTCTTCCTGTGATGGTTTCGTCTTTAGTGTTAACTATCTACCTTTTCGACCGTTTTGTCTCGCAGGGCTTCGCCGCCGTCCAAGCGCTGTATGCAATCGTACGCGATTACCTTGGAATCCACGAACGGCTGTTAACGGTAACTCCGTCGCTTCTTCCAGTGGTGTCTCTTCAGTCACTTCACCGCGCGGTCCCGACAGCAATTCCAGCAGTGCCACAGGAACCCGCACAACGATCACTACAGAGACGGAATCTGAGCACGAACGAGATGTACGTATTCTGTCTTTTTGTCCCCACAACTTTTTTGATCAGCCCAGCTTCCGCGTACTCTTTTTCCCCTTTCTTCACTGCGCTGTTGCATTTCGGTCTCTTCATGTCTGTCTAGATCACAGGGGACTGCGTTTCCCCTGATTTTATCCCCCTGAGGTTTCCCGGGCCACAAGCACCAAAATCCGCCCAAATATGGCCAACTGGTCGCAACCGGCGAAGTAACAGAGCTACAGGACCAAAGAGTGGTCCTAATGGTGGATCAGCGGCAATGCAGTCTAAAAGCGTACCCACATCGGGTCGAATTTCGCCCATCTCTTTTCATGTGAGTCGGCTCAAACATATTCTCCGTCTTTGCTACCGATATTTACATCCTATTCATCTTTGACTGGACATTAGCTCATCTCATCACCGTCTACTGTCTTAAATTCTGTTGTGTCGGAGTCTTGCGATTGCTTCCATCCACTAACGACAGTGAGAACTCGAACGACCAGAGACAAACACCCAGCGTTTCTTGTACCTAGGCAAACTATTACGTTATATAGCATGACGCAGAAGAGTGAAAACCAACTGGAGTACGAAAAGCATGCGGACAAGTAAAGCCAATCAAAACTGAACAAATGTGGAACCGATCCGGTGCACACAGCGAACGGAAAGTGAGTGTGAACGTCAGAGCGGGGCCGCGATCTGTAGGCAAACATTACGACTCTAAATAGCCAATAGTGGTAGCGGAATGGTACGTTAAAATGAACATCAGTGAACCACCGGAGCCAAACAAAAGTCTGCAGTCATGAACCGTTGCACAAGCATACCTTGATTTTGATTATCTCTCTAACAAATTCCTTTTGTGAACACGTCGGCCGGTGGCCGAATGATATGCGCGTCTGCTTTGCTACCATTAGGTCACCGGTTCGAATCCGCGTAGGGGCGGGAGTCCTCGCGAAATACTCAGCCCACGCGCGACTGGTGGTGCTCTCGTGGCAGCGAAGCCCCGTTACGACGTACGGCTGGCGATTTATTATTATTATTTGTGAGCACCGTTTCATTGTTATTTTTTGTCATTTTTCCCCTCCTTTAGGATTCGCTAATATCCGTTGACCCAAGTCCCCCTCTTCCTCGCACTCCACGCGGTTCCTCCGTTCTGACCGCCTCGGATGTCGAACCTTGCACACCTCGCCGCAAACCTCTCCTGGAACCACTGAAGCACAAGACTGGTAGGATATTTCCCTAACCCCCCAAAGTGCACTTTCACACTTGCCCACCATGTCTTTTTTCACTCGCTATGACTTCACATTCGCTCTCAACTTGGTCATTTGCATGATGGACGCTTTCTCCCAGGTTATCGACTCTTTCTTTTGATGTGTAAACTACGCCCTAAGCAGACATTTCCTGTTAAGATGCCCGCATATTGCTAACAAAGCACTCTCACAAGCCGTTCTCTATCTTGTAGCGATAAATTGGCATCGGTAAGACGGATTCCTCACAGTTTTCACTACCCCATATCACACTCAGCCTCCCTTCGCTGATAACCCAGCTTTAGAGATTTTTCCGCAAGACGGTTCGATTAAGGGGTGACTACAGCTGTGGCGCTGGTGCCGACTTCAAGACATGTATAGTAAAGTCTCGAGCTACACAGAACCTGGCTCGCGTGTACTCTAGCCTGAAAGGTGAAGTCAACCAACGGCACGCGGTTTAGTCGTCGGTGTCTTCATTTTTCGCTTCAAAGCTTTTACTTATCTTAAATTTTATGTACCACCTATGCCCGGTAAACAAAACAAAGTTCTCCGCCGCAAGCAATGATAGGGCATACGTAGCACGTACTTTGACCAGTGCAATTCATTCAACATTATATGTCTTTCTAAAGTGTCGAGCTGACTGTCCCTGCCCAGTTCTTACCTGTGCACATCATCGATGTAGACACGCTGGTATTTTCCTAAATCAGCAAATCTCCGCTGACAGCGATGACCAAAGACTTGAGGTGTCTAAGATCCTCCGACCAAAGGCGCCAAGCCTCGCTCTCACAGAGAAGTGAATTCATCACTGTGATCCTGTACACATGGCCCGTCACACCGACGAATTCTGTTACTGGTGCTACAACTATCGTCATTCATGAAACATGTCCTTCGCGACATGTAAGTTATTTTTGGGGTATATGCATTCGTTGTTGCTAATCGCATCTTTCTAGTTCTTCGTCAGGGACCCTAAACATTAGGCGAGGAGAGTTCACTTGATACGCGTACATCGTGTCAACGACTGAGACCGTAGTGTCTTACGACCGTCAAACATAGAGACGGTACCATTTGCATTAGGCAAATCACCTAGTTCCTTTTGACATCCCCTCAGTGCGTGCCTGCATCGGGAAACTTTACGTGGTACACTACTTGTCGGATCTACTATAAATTCGATCATAATTAGAGAACCTTGTCAACCCTAATGGACATCACTTTTTGATACGATGTCCAGAAATTCGCTTCCTACCTTGACCCGGCCGGTGATGTTCAAGTATAAAGCACGTAAAAAATATTTCATGAGAATCTCCTATTAATAGGTCGAATGAAATGCAGCGATCCTCGGAGGTGAACCTATCCTTGGAACCGTTATTCGCCTACTGCAGAGTTAAAGGATGGTCTACACAGCTCCGTCCGAGACGGAAAGCTCTCTTTTCTCTGTCAACTTACCCCCGTTTCGCTGTAACACACACACACACACACACATATATATATATATATATATATATGTTTAAGTGTAAGTTGGTTTAGCCCAACTGCGTACTTGATAATCTTCTCCTTACTTGCACACGTCGTTCACGCAAATTGTGGTAAACTTGCGTAATTTTATCGCGTGGTATTTTTTAACTAACTTTCGGACATTTTGTACTTATCACGGATTCACTTATAACCAATTTCTTCTATATGCTCATTTAGCGACTATTTATGTCGTCATATGCGTTTACTTTAATCGATATCGGCATTTCGAATGATTGGCTGTTGCTTGATATACCCGGTGTGGCTGCGCTTGATGTGCATGTTGACAAGGTACCTACCTGTCTATTACCCAATACCTCGTCCAACTGGCTCCAGGAGACAGTTGGTCGTTGCTGGATGGGACTTGGTGTACAACCCTTGTGGCCGTGCTAGGCTCGAAGAGTGGTTCCATGCACTCAGTGTGGAGCGGACTACGGTCCAGCCACCGCCTTGTGTGCGCTTGATCCCCAAATACAGTGTGCTTGTGTTTGTCTGTGAAGGAGTGTCGGCCGGCTCCGTTGATGAAACGTGGTTCCCATCCACTTGTCTCCCGGTCTTATTCCTTCGGGTTTACACTGAATATGGGGTGTGTGGATGGAGCTGTGTGTGGTGCAGCGCAAACCACCCATAGTCCCTCTGTAGGCGGAGGCGTCCTGTGGCTGGCCACAGTGCCAGGCAAATCCGAAACCGGATGCCGCCAACTCGATATATATATATATATATATATATATATATAATGTTGTATGCGCGGAACACCTTTCGGTTTGCGTATCGTTTCTATTGGCTCATCGGTTTTGAGTTCGTCACCGATTAGCTTCATTCCTGGTTTTCTGTTGAGCCGTATTGCGGATTGTCCACCTGGGAAATGTTTGCTTTGAGCCGAGTAACAGTATGTCTGAAAGTGCTTCATTGTTTATCTTCTTATCATAATTTGCTTCTTATGGGATATTCAACACTGCTTTCTCTCTCTCTCTCTCTCTCTCTCTGACTTCACCAGGTAACCATAACAGTCGGCAGTTATCGGTGCATCCGCCTGTGCCTCTCTATTTCTGCTCCTACCTTGTCGATTTTAAGTAGGACCATCGTAAAATGTCGTCGTTGGTCTTGTCCATTGTTTTGAGCCCCGAACCGGTAATTTGTTTGTTCGAACTTCTAGTCGCCGTGTGTAGCTGATTCGCGTCATTATCGCTTAATAGGTTTATCTCGCTGTGGCTGCGACTCTTCACAAGACACTTTTCTCCGAAGTGAGCTTGAGATGCATCACTCCGTCTGCAATATCAGATGTAAACCCTTAAGAAACCGCATCATGATGTGGCCACTGATTGAAACTCTGAGGAACCATGAGCTGCAGCCATACATGAAGCGGCAACTGTACTGTATTCCGGTCCGTGATGGTACCGCGCTTTTGGATCTGGTGTGGTCGCACAGTTTCTGCACCCCGACTCCAGGGACCGCCACCAGCAGTAGTCTCTGGAGCAGGACGTCATGGTATTGGACATCATATGTGTGTGTGCGCCCTGTCAGCATCCGTCTCGTACGCATTCATGCCGGACACACCATGCGAGGATAAGCACCAATCACGCAGTAATACATGCTCAATAACGATATGTGTATCGTCATAAGCGCCGGTAATTTTTTATTTAAGAGAATTTGAGGCATTTCTTTTGATAGTGTGTGTGGTGAAGTGATGAGCGTGTCTACCAACCACCACCAGGTCCTCGGGTCACCTTCAAATTGTGGTTATTTCAACTCGAAGCGTCTGAGTAAAGTCAAAGCTATTGGAGGATTATATGACTGAAGGGGTTCAGCAGTGAACAGTTCGCTTTGGATACTTTGATCCCACCACAAAACGGTCTGTGATTTGCCAATCATCTGGTACACTTTTCTCCCGCCACTGCACCACTGATATGCATTCCGAAGAGGTCGCTTCAGTTGTGGCTCTGGGTTTGCACTAGGCACAGAATGCACACGGATGGCGCCACATCATTCACCCATTGTCCTCCTCACGGACGTCCTCGAGCTATTCACCATCTCTATAATGGGTAACTTTGACAACAGGTGCTACCATAATTACTAGTCGTAAGTCGTAGCTGTCCCTATCGCTCGTTGGTATGGACTTCAGCGCGTTTTGCCAACCGCTGTGCGATCTCTGGTTTGTAACCATTACTCGACCAAATGCAGGCAATCTTGCGCGGGGTAATACGGCGGCACCATTGTGCATTCGCTCCGGTACAGTCACATAACGATCGAGCGAACCTACATTAGCCTTATTGAGAACGATTGATGAGTACCGTCAGGACCGGTCGTTGTCGCGGTCCGTTATCACCACCTAACATTCCTAGGGTCCGTGAAGTCTACTTGTTTTCTTATTCACACGTATGTTACAGCTAGTCTGCTTTGCATGCTTAATTTTAGAAAATCATAATAAGTGCTACACGAGTAATGCTATGACGTGCGCCCCTAGCATAACTTTTGGTCAGGTACAGAGCAACTTTCGCCCCGCCTGTTTTGTTCGATCACTTGGGCTCAATTAACTGAATGCCCCTTCCTTGTGCATTTTTCTTTCAGGTCCGCCATCAGTATTTTCCGCACGACCAGCTCTTGGACGACAAAGTGGCCGCTCGCGGCAGTCAAGCGCCATGAGTTCGAATCGCTCCGATTCTCGCGAAGTTACCGAGACACCCCCTATTGTAAGCGACCGCAAGCCTTCTCACACCTGCCATTCTCATCGCACCAACAACTCTCCAACCGACACGGCGGAAGCGTACCATGATGATTACGAAGAGGACGATGACAATGCTGCCGACATGGGCGATATCATCAATGACGACGAGGACGATGATGATGCCAGCATCTCCACCTTTGAAGGTCTGCAAAGTGCCCGCGGGACCACCGAGCAGAGATTGGATAACGACGAGAAATGTTGCACCGATACTAATCGTTCTGGTGGACCGGGAAACAGGGGTTTGTTGTGTCGTTCTGTGGATTCTGAGTTGTCCGGGGTAGGTCGCTAGAACAACTACTGTCGTTTCCCTTATCACTTAACGTTGGCCACGAGTGTTTCTCACTCGATTTCCTTCATCTGCGGCTTATCGCGCAGGTTGTTCTTGCTGCATTTTTAGTATTAGTAGTAATAGTTATTATTATTCTTATTATGATTTTGTTGTTGTTGTGAGTTTCTTTACTCCAGCCACTGAATTCGCTGCTTTATCTGATTCCTCTCCTACTTCAAGGCGTCAGTCATATTGGATGCTGATTGTGGATTTCTAAACCAGCTGTTCCCTTCACTAATACTCATTCATGCAGTGCATAGCTAGATTTCCTGGATGCTGCAACTTTAAGGCTATTTTATCAACAACACATTTTTGCGCGCAGTCCGGTGTCACACAGTTGAATATACGACGGAGAAGCTGTACTCACTGCATTTCGAATGTGGCCATCCCCCCACGAACATCTGATAACTGACATGGTATCCCAACCGGACACCGGTTGCACAAGTACTGTTTCACGTCCACTTCATAGTGAATAATGAGTCGGATTACTTTCCGAACTAAACGACTGTTACAAACCGATACGGGGAGTCGGGTACCTCATTCGACTGCGCCTAGTGGTTGTGACTCTTTGTCAATTCCTGTGTGACAAAAGCTGTCGATGAGGTGTGTGTGGGCAGTCTCATGCGTCCCATTCCCCACCCCCCGGTACGAGGGCGAGAGAGACGTTTTCGTTGAGGCTGAACTATACAGCACTGCACTGTGAGATCTTAACACAGGGACCGTGTTTGACCACCAACTTCTGTGATCATCATTCCACTAACTAGTCAGGGGTAAGAGATACCTCAGCTGTTGTGTGCAATACGACCCAATCAGCACTCCTCGAGAATGAGATTGTGGTTGGAGAGGAGGCAAAGTGTGAACTTTGGGGGGGGGGGGGACAAAACAACCCACAACCCAAACGCCAACGAGGACGGCTTCCGGACATGTCAACAGGCGTCGGTCATGGTTTTTGGTGTCAGCCATTTGTGTTGTTCAGCGACAGCCCCGCTTTTGCCGCACTGGAATGTGTGTTACGTTCAAGTCACCTACGGTAACCCACTCGCATGCTCATCGCATGCCGTTTAGCCTACTCTCTTGGCTTCTATTGTTTGTCAACAGTGCACCTTATTGGATGAAATTCCGAATGCAGCAAAGGGTTAGAGATGACCTTTTGACATGTGCACGCACGCCGTTGCTTTGACATAGACGTGACTAGATGATGACGTCTTCTTTTATTCTTTACTAACAGCCACACTCGCCTACCCTTTTTTGTGTGCGTGTGTGCGCATGTTCATGCATACGTACCCCGATGGAAATTTGCCTATTCCTTGCACATACCACTGAAGTTAACCGAAATGTAGTAGTATATAAGTACAGTACAGCATGTGAATGCTGTGCGCCATATCAAAAATTGGTCCGTTCGTCTAGTATGTTAATTCTACACTTGTCTGTGTGCCAGAGTGTAATCGTTTGTCCGCGTCACTGCGTCTCCGTGGCATATTTTACTCCAACTTTGTTCAATACTAACATCTTGGGTCTGAGTCTGTAAACAACAGAGTGTCTACTCGTTTGCTTTTCTTTAGAGATTAATCACACTGGAAATCGGTTTACTCGAACGTGAATGTATCAACATTTCTAAACTACATATTGTCGTATTTGCACAGGCAGATGTGTTGTGTCTACGGCTAGATGTTTGGCAGCCAATAGAGTTTTGTAAGTACTCTGCCCGATGGAACCCCACCAATAGGCTATGTGCTGTTGGACTTTTCTACCTTCCAAGCTGGAGTACACATGACCCACCTTGTACTTGGATCTAGATGGCTCGCGATCCACATATGTGACGTGTCTGCTGTCCTCTTCTAATCAGATAGGCTGTTTAATGTGTTTCCTAATACGTTATCTGCGGGATAATGACTGATTATGACGCGAGGTTGAGAAAATCGCAGGAAAGCTATTTCGCCGATGTCACCTTATCTTTGCACGATAACCAGGTGTTTGTGACCGTGTGTTGTCGACAAGGTGTAGGCATCTTGACCCTGAGTGTTTGCCTTTGGCACTTGTCTTTTTGTGCTAAGCCATCCTCCCCTTTTAGTATTCTCTGATCCTTTGTTCTTAATGGTTTTACGGAAACGAAGCATCAGTTCACATGGCTGCTGTACTGCCACCGTTGTTTTGTTCCGGCTCGAACCACTTTCGTTATCTTACTTTCGCTCGTGCATCCTTTTCGACTAAATTTTGAGTCAGCTTGACATTACTTAATAATTTACTCGGGTCCGAAGAATAGTGTGACAGATGGGTAGTTTTCACCGCCTCAGCGGCGCATTTTCGACCTCTTCATGGTCTTATTTATTTTTCCCACATTGTGTGCAAAGTATCCACCCATGTGTTTAAACTCTCTTACGTAATTATCTGGGTGTTCAGAGTTTGGTATCAAAGTTTCATGGCGTACAAATGCTCCGGAGCTATGGTCGGAGTCCATCGGACGAATTGTCTCTGTTTGACAGGACCATGTTCCACCGCGAACGCTTCGTTTTGGTATACCATTGCCATCATCTTACCATCACAGTTCGGTCTCTATTCCCCTTCTCCGTCACTTTAAGAACGATAAGGTTTGGCCGCCTTCTTGTCTACCTCCAGTTGTCTGCTTTCTTCACACCTTTTAGGTCACCAGCATTCGAAGCGCGGCATCTCACAGACGTGCATTGCGCCTGTTCGAGGAGGCAGAGCGTCGGAGGCGCCTGGAAGAATCCAATGCCAGAACTGGACCGGACGATATCACTTGCGAACCTACTCCTGTGTCTGTTGTAGATAGCAGTTGTCCTATGCCCACTCTTGCGCCTGCTGTCTCCCCCGCATTGTCAACACTTCGTCCCATAGCGCCCGGAAAAGCCACGGCGCACAGGTAAGGTGTTGATTTGTTTTCCACTCACTTTACAACACTGGTTTATGTGGGTTGGACTAGTTTAGCAGTTGGAGTTTGTTTGCGCTCCATACGCTTACCTTCAGCTGAGCCTCTGTGATGTATTCAACCGGTATCCCATATCGAAATAGTTTCCCAGATTGCCCTCCCTCTGTTAGAATGCCACCCCTATTTGTACATGCGTTTACGCTTATGTAACGCTTTTTCCCTCCCATATCTGATCACGAGTCGTGGATACATGTTATTTTTCCTAAATAATCTACGTACACCATCATGGATATAAAATGTTTTGGAAAACTGGTAGCTCGGGTTGATCATTCAGTTGCTCATTTGTTCGCCGAGCTGCGAAACTTGTTTGCAAACGTTTCACCGCCATGCGAGGCGGCATCATCAGTGCATAGAGATGTGGACTGTAATCTCGCTGATTGAATTGTCGGCCCGTGATCTGCGTGCAGGTGACTTTTCGAAAGTGACGGCATATATATATATATATATATATATATATATATATATATATATATATATATATATATATAGAAGCGCAGAGAACGACACCAGCCTTTGTACTCGCTTTTTGTTGATTTCACCAAGGCATTTGATACGGTGAACCGCGAGGCATTATGGCTGGTGTTGGGCAAGTTTGGTTCCCTCGTAAGTTTGTAATTTTTAATGAATGTCTGCACAATGGTATGCGAGCGAGGGTGCAGCTGAATGGAGAGACCTCGGATGACTTTGCAGTTGTCTATGGTGTGAAGCAAGGCTGTGTCTTAGCTCCTGCCCTGTTTAATATATATCTTCATGCCATGATGTCTTGTGCTTTTGAATCAGCTTGTGCTTACGGTGTTCGTGTGGAGCACCGTATTGACGGTGGGTTGCTGAACATCTGTCGTTTCGGTGCAAGAACTCTAGTCTGTGAGACAACTATCCGTATGTTGCTGTTTGCTGACGACTGTGCGTTGTTTTCACACAGCGCGGATGAGTTGTAGCACATGACTAGTGCTCTGGCTTCGACAGCGGCCAAATTCGGACTCACCATGAACACAAGCAAAACTGTCTGTCTCTTTCAGCCTTCGCCGGAGGTGCAATCTTCATTATTGCCGCAAATCAGCATTGGTGCTGAAGTATTGGAAACCACCTCCTTGGGAGTGTGATATCGACTGATCAGCAGCTACACGTTGAGTTGCGTAATCGCGTGTCGAAGGCAGCAGCGGCATTCGGTAAGCTTGAGTACCGAATGTGGAACAACCATCAGCTTAGCATTGGCACGAAGCTGATGGTGTACAAATCCATGGTACTGTCCGTCCTTCTATACGGCAGTGAAACGTGGACGATGTACCGTCGGGATGTGCGATATCTCGAGCGGTTCCATCAGCAGTGTCTGCGACGTATTTTGCGGATCGGTTGGGGCGCCAGAGTTGCAGACACGGAAGTGTTGCGCCGAAGTGGGATGTATGCAGTGGGCTGCATACTTTTACTGCGACACCTGAGATGGCTCGGTCATGTAAGCCGTATGGATTCGACGCGAATACCGAAACAACTTTTATACGGTCAGCTGAGTATAGGGAAGCGGCATGCTGGGAAACCAAAGTTACGTTACCAGGACATGATCAAAATGAGCCTCACACGTTCTAATGTTGATTGCAGATCATGGGAATCGAAGGCGGTTGATCGTGGTGCATGGCGCGATCTAATCACGAAGGCAGTTGCTGAGGTGCAGGAGAAAGCCCTCATGCATGCAGAGAAGAAGCGGCAGTTGCGGAAGCGGCAAGCACCAATGAATTGTACTCCATCGACATCGAGCGCATTGTGCTGTAGAACATGCGGTCGCGAGTGCCTTAGTCAGGCAGACCTAGTGAGCCATGAGAGAGGTCACTCGGGACCACTGCCGAAGCGCCGACGGGTCCAGCAGTGAACGTATGCAGCACCGGCTCAGCGTTTGTAGGCACGCTGAATTCGATTTACTAACCGCATGCTTGCATGCTAAGTCTCTTTATTTCAGATGGTGGGTTTGCGATTCTCTCCTAATGCCTTTCTTTCTCATATAAATGTCAAATGGGCCATGAGCTGTGCCATTTGGGGCCACTAGAGAAGCGACGACGGGTCCTGCAGAGAATTACGGCGATCCGGCGCAGCGTTTGTAGGCACACTGAATTCGATTTACTAACCGCGTGCTTGCATGCTAAGTCTCTTTATTTCAGGTGGTGCGTTTACAGTTTTTACCTTAATGCTTTTCTTTCTCATATAAATGTCTACCAGTACTATATTCCATTAACTTGCACACCTCGCCTAAGCCAATTGTATTCGATCTCCGTAGCATATTTGTGTTCGTGGCATTCCGTGAACTATACTTCCTGACCTCGTGCACTTAGCTAGGATTTGTTTGTAAACAACTTATTACATATGCTATTTAATTAAGATTTATACCACCGTTTCCTGATGCATTAATCGAGTATTTCTCTTTTTCTTTTCTCTCTCTCTCTCTCTCTCAAGTGTTTGGTTGTTGTTTGATATCCCCGGTGTGGCTGCGCTTGATGTGCATGTTGACAAGGTGCCTACCTGTCTATTACCCACTACCTCGTCCATACTGGCTCCAGGAGACAGTTGGTCGATGCTGGAGGGGACGAGGATGTATAATCCTTATGGCCATGCTAGGCTCGAAGAGTGGTTCCATGCACTCAGTGTGTAGCGGACTACTGTCTAGCCACCGCCTTATGTGCGCTTTATTCCCAAATACAGCGTAATTGTGCTTGCCTGTGAAGGAGTGTGGGCCGGCTCCATTGATGAAACATGGCTCCCATCCGCATGCCTCCCGGTCTTATTCCTTCGGTTTTTCTCTGGATATGGGGTGTGTGGGTGGTACAGCGCAGGCCATCCATAGTCCCTCTGTAGGCGCAGGCGTCCCGTGGCTGGCCACAGTGACAGGCAAATCCGAAACCGGATGCCGCCAGCCATATATATATATATATATATATATATATATATATATATATATATATATATATGAACTTGACCGAGCAACTACCACAAGTAAGTTACTAAGCATTTTTTGCATGACTGAGTTTCTATCGTTCAAACAAGCGTGACAGGCAAGGGGCTACTGATGGGCCATAGATCATTGTGCGAGCGTATAAAATTTTGTGCGCCGTAGTGTTCGAGAAGGTTTATACTCGTTCGGACAGCGCTCTGTGAAGGGGATGGCTAATATCGGTATTTTAGACGTTATTTTGCTAAATGAGTTGACTTGGTTAGCTACAGTGTTGTTACCAAGTTCCATCCTTTAAATGCCACTACACCGGGACAGATGCTTCACTGACTTGGCAATTACTCTGCGGTGCTTACTCAGGAGACCAGGGATGATCACGGGAGAGCAATACGTCCAGTAGGATGACACATGCAGTGGTTAACTGTTGGATCGACAATGGGTTACGGAAGAAGATCCGAGGCATGTAACAGAATGAGAGACTTCTAACTGTGGCGAATGTTTCGTTCATATGCAAGGACCACGTAAACCCACTGTTCGGTGTCCTTCCCAGGTATCTAACTGAGGTGACAGAGATCAGACATTCACCGTATATACAAAGCTGCGGACACTGGGTTAGGATTTACCGGTAGTCATTTCCCTTGAACAGCGAAACGGGGTTTGGGCCAAAATGTGAGGTTCTCCAGGACGGTTTGTTGTTTGGCCGATGACTATGCTTGGATGATGGACACCCAGGATTACGTCGTCCACACACTTCAGCGAGATGGCTACTTCATGAATGGCGATTGAGGTAACATTAGTGGTAAATAGTACTGAAGACAAAATGGCTGCCTGAAGAGTCCCCAGGGTTCATGGTGTGTAAAGAAACATTTTTCCCATTAACCTGCTAAATTTAGTTCATCTGCTAAAATAATCTGTCAACAGAAGAATAACAGAATGTTGAACTCCAGAACCTAATTGATCGTGCAACCGTAGTTCACAATTCTCACTACCAAAAGCGTTGCTAACATCCGGGAAGCAGATGCGGATGGATTTGTTTTCATTATCCATTGACGACTGCACAGTTTGTTCCAGACATGTTACTGCATCTAAGGTGGACCTTGCGCTGCGGTGTGCAAACTGTTGTGGATCATCAAAATCTGTCTTCTGATCTGAGATCCTTTTAAGAATAAGCCTTTCAAAGATTTTGGAAGCAACAGACATGCTAACCTTCGGTCGATATTTGTAGATCCCATTCATTTTTTCACTGGCGTGATGCTTTCGTCACTAAGCTCAACGTTCTGGCTGAGTAACTCATCATTCAAACACATCTCTTCGAGGGCCACTCACCCTGTCCGCTACGAAGCAACGATGCAGCACAGCTTATCGCGCTTGTTCATGAGATTACAAACGTTGGTAGTGGCTATACGCTGGTCTTGGTTACGAACTATCGGATTTGCATGAAGGGCGAGCTATAGGTTTAAGCGAATTCGTGTTTGTTTCGTTGCCACCCGAAACTTTCAACTATATAGATTTTTTTCTCCTTCACTGCATCGCCACTTTAGCTCAACAATGTCCCGTTTGAAGAACACTCGGACAGCTAAATCTATATCCAGACTAATGTGCATCCTTTCGCCTTTCAGCCTATTAAGCCGAGTCAGTGTTAGCCTCGGACTGGCCTCGTCGGCGAAAGTTGCCCGCATAGGTCTGCACTCAGAAGTGTTTTTGCCAAAGCGGATGTTATGTCTCGTTTTCACTCTGTCCTCACTCACATCGTGGAGCCTATCAACCAGATTATGTGGACCTCATGACCATAACGTGTTTGAGGACTTAGATAGTTGATCTCAAGTGCGTGAGAAATCATCAGATTCGATCGCGTCTTGTCATTCGAAGTGCTTCCTGCGAGAGAGGAGTGGACTAGAGCCTTAACTGACTTTGACTGTTGGTGGTCAGTAGCAGGAAGCTTCTGTTCGTTTCGCCGCTTCTTCCCTTTCCATTGACCCTCATTCATTAGACATTCATCTGCGTCATCTGCGCAAAGGCAGTGGATACTTAGCCTCATTTGGTGTCGTGTCTTTGGAAACATTAGGATGACGAGGTAATGAGTTATTAGAGGAAATCGAATGGGAAGAAGGTCGGGTCGAAACCTCGATGGACTTTAGGCTAGTTTGCGGGGCCTTAAGTCTAGAGCTACTAATGGTCAAACTATTTTTGGCCGCTATCTGCATTTGTAGAGGTTATACGTTTCTCAGACGGTATTCAACTGCGACAACGGCTACACAAAATTTGGATGAAATCGTGTTGAATGGAACGCAAGAGATTATGGGAATCGGTGAGCAATCCAACACAGCAATCAAAGCATGTGAGGGCTTTTGTTGTGTCCAAGAATTTTCGAACAAGAACCGCAAGGTGGTTCCTTCGGTATTTTGGAAAAATGGTGTAAAAATGACACAAAATAGTAAGACATTATTTTTTGTACAATCTCCGAAATCTTCAAAAAGATACCGCACAACATATGATCCCAGTATAGGCCACGTCTCCTGTGTCTTGTTGTTGCCGTTGTCTTCGTCTTCGTTGTTGTTGCCGTCATCGTTTTCAAAGCACAACTACACTGTTTTTTAACAGGTTAACGCCTGAATGTATGCATTTTTTGCCTCGTCATCTTTTCTGATTCCCCCGTCATTCCAACTGAGTCCGCCACACTCCCGTTCCCTGTTTGTGCTTGACTTGTGCTAAGTTGAACTGAATTCTACAGATCCGCGTCCACACGTCTTATAGATCTAATGCAGCATACTCATAAGACCTGAGCGAATTAATAACTCGTCCGCTTTACTACGCTCATGGTGTGAGCCTTGATATTGCGCCACGTCATCCATTGTATTGTGTGCGTCTGAAAGAGGATTTCTCTTCCCCCTTATATGAATCAGCAAACTACTATGTTCTCCCCTTTTTCCGTAGGCGTGGTATTCAGCAAATTGCGCCTCAGGCCCCACAACTTTCACACTCGGTTGCCCCAATCACAAATCAGCGCCATAGCTGTCCACCAATAAATTCAGCTTCCCACTCATCGGTATCTACAGATTCCAATCTACCAGCAAATAATTCGACCGAATACAATCCATACAAGGGAGCTTCGTTTCGGGAGAATCCGGGATACGCCGGTCTAGTAGTTGGACGTGCAGCGGCGAGCACAGTTCAGTGTTCCTCCACACAGGAACCACAGCGTTCGAGTCATTTTCCACCAACAGGCGAGAGAAAACCACTGAAAGGTAGGTGAAATCCCTGTCTTGCATGTGTTGGATCATTGCAACCTTTTGCCCGGCATCGGCCGCATTATTCGCCTTGTGTTTGCTGGAGGGTGTTAGCTTTTTCGAACCGAAGACCCTGCATGCCAGATGACACACTTACGGGTCGTGAACATCAGCAGCGGAGAGGCAATGCTCGCAAATTATTGTTGCAGGATGGAACCGATACGCCACCACCCGTTCTAGGTATCAGCGAACAACCACTGGAAGTGGCGAATCGGTTCACGTATCTTGACAGTTGTGTCACCTCTGGTGATCGCATCACTGAGGAAGCTGCTTCGTGTATCAGCAAGGTTCATGTGGTATTTGAGAGATCCAATCTAGGATATTAGCCTGTCCGTGAAATCTTGGGCGTATAACGCTGCGATAAGACGTATGTTCGGATCAGAGATCTGTTCAGTTTGCACCGAACTGATTAAACGGTTGCTCATGTTTAATCGCCGGTGATTTCGGAGCATTGTTTACATCTGGGGGGAAAACCGGTTGGTATTGGCAGGAAACTTTCTGGTGCCTCACCCGAGTGTTTCCTAAAGTCTAATATCATATTTAAAATATTGCGTCCCCTTTATCCACTTTACCATTGCAGAAAGAAGACAAATGTTGCGAGATGTTAACATTTCGATTCTTCTTCGAAGTCGTAAACACAGTAAAACATGAAACTAACGTTCATGCAATAAGAGAATCAACACCACGACAGCCTAACATATAGTCTCAATTGATACAATCGTGTATACTCATTCGTTTACATTTTGCATTTATTGTGTTTACTACTTCGCACAACATTCGAAATATTAACATCTCGCAACATTCGTCTTCTTTCTGCAATAGTGAAATGGATAAAGGGGACGCAATATTTTAAATATGATATTAGACTTTAGGAAATACTCTGGTGAGGCACCAGAAGGTTTCTTGCCAAATACCAACCGGTGTTCCCCTCCAGATGTAACCAGTACTCCGCAACCGCCGGCGATCAAACACGAGCAAGCGTTTAATCACTTCACTGCGAACTGGCCAGATCTCTGATGCATACAGTAACACACGTCCTATCGCAGCGTTATACGCCCAATAGCAAGAGACCTGGTGTTATCGAGACCGTACGCGACGAGAGTTGGCAGTCTGTTAAAACGCTTGGGACGTTGGGCCGAACGCTTTTGCAAGGCAGTTTAACCAACCCGAGTTATCACTTTTTTTCGGGCGTTGAGCGCCTTTCTCCCTGGGCCGGCTCCTTGGATTCGCTCTCTCACGCAGAAGTCGAACGCGAGATCAGGCTTATAAAATTGCAAAAGGCCGCAGGGGCAGATAGAATTCCCCAGCCCTCTTCAAATTCGGGGGACCTGCTCTAGTAGATGATTTACACGACTTGCTAGTGAAATTTTCTGAGCAGGAGACTGTCCCGACAGACTGGAGCCGCTCCGTCTTAGTCCCAATTTTCAAGGGAAGCTCCCGTTCGAAATGCGGCAATCATAGATGGATCAGTCTGATCGCAATTGCCTCTAAATTACTTGCGTCTATCGTTCTCCACAAGCTGACTCGCACTCGTGAAAATCAGGTCCGTGAAGAGTAAGCCGGGTTTCGTCGAGGTCGGGGCTGCATCGACCACATCTCCACCTTTCGTCAAGAATAGCATCGTTTATTGGCGACCCACCGTTGTCATGTTTCTCGACATAATAGGTGCCTTCGATTCGGTGGATCGATGTGCCCTTTAGGACTGTCTGCTGAGGAAAGTTGTGCCTGATAACTACGTGAACATTATCAAAGCGCTGTACGCGCATATTTCTAGCAGAATGTGAGTTTATGGCAAACTGTCGCCGCCCTTTAATATCACCAGCGGTGTGAGACAAGGTTGCCCGCTGTCACCTTACCTATTTAACTTCGCGATTGAAGAAGTCACGGGAACCTGCGTTCGCTGGACACGACCTAGGAGGTATGGAGCTACTTCCTAGTAAGTGACTTCTTGACTTGGAGTATGCGGACGTTATTGCCCTATTTTGTAACAGCTCCCAAACGTGCTAAACAGCACTGGACCGATTATCACTGTCTGTCAATCGTTTTGGCCTATGCTTTGCTCCATCGAAATGCAAAGTCCAGGATTGGCAGGAACCCACCCCTGCGCTAACTCTTAGTGGAGGTGATCAGGTGGAAGTTGTTCACCAGCTCAAGTACCTGGGGAGTTATGATAATGCTTTGGGATCGAAGATGAGGTTAAGAACGGTATAGCAAACTCGAGGTGCTTTTCCCAATCGCCGCCACCTGTGGCGCCGACGCGACATCACTCTCACCCTGAAGGGCAGAGTTTATAATGCAGCCGTCCGTTCAACCCTCTTATATGGTTGTGAAATCTGGCCCACCAGATCACAGACATAAAGAGGCTAGTCACGTTCGATTATCGCTGCCTAGCTCATGTCTGGTGGCAGCACCGCGTGAGCCATGAATGTGTTCGGCGTGGTGTATTTGGTGTGGGAAGAGCAGGTGAGCCGTTCAGCACCAGTATATCACGCACCAGACTCTGATGGCTGTGCCACGTGTTGCGCATGCCAACACACCGACTCCTGCGACGTGCATTACTTGCGCGCCGGTTGTACGGTCGGAAGAGGAGGAGGGGAGGTCAATCTGTTAGGAAGGAATACGCGAGTCGAACAAGCCAGGACCCCATCGCCTCGGCCGGCTATCCAAACCCATCCGCCCTGACTGGGGCGAACAGAGAGCCAACCAGGAGAAGCGGCCAATGAACGCTAGGTTGATGTTCTTTTATTGGCTGTAAGTTAACCTTTCCAGAGCTTTCCATGGTCGCTTTAAATACGCTGTTCACGAACTTTCCAATTTATCTTTATAATGAACGGTGTGATTTGCTAATTCATTCCTGTTGCTCTGCTCGTCCGATTCGTCTTCTCTCTGTCCTGTGGGGGGCCAGCGATTTCGGGTTTGATTGGGAATCAAGCGTCCATTCAGGCGAGGGACAAACACTTCAACTGGCGACGGAGATGGGATCCTGGCTTGTTCGACTCATGTATTCCTTCCTAACACAATCAATCACCTGGTTGAGAGAAATGAAATCCCTCACTTCGAAGCTGGCGTCGGTTGGTGCATTCCGACTGCCTAGCTGGGTGATGCACACGTTTGGTTGGACACAGTTGCTGAGATGGCAAAGAGCCGGCCGGCCTTTGTGTTGTGAGTGTCTCAGTCCATCCTCCTCTCTTTTAGATTCCCTCTCCATTTCCCATCTCCTACGAATTGCATAATATATTATTTAAAATTATGTTAGCTGAGGTGTGTTTCACTCTCGACTAACGTGTATTGTTGATGATGATGATGATGATTATTAGAATGTAACCAAACCAATCAACGAAACCGTTTGAGCAAGGCATAATTGGACAGAGCACAGTCTCCGTTTGAATCACATTCGATTGGCTGCTTGTCGGATTTTCGGTCCAATTCGTCCATACCGATTGTCCGCCTCAAGGTCGACTAATCATCACTAGTGTAATGACATTGCGCGTCGCGATTCGTTCACACAACGAGTGTTTGAAAATAATCCCTTTGTATAGTACAACTCGTGACGGTTTTTTGGTGTCCAGCCGTCCTCATTGCCCGCTGTCATCGGACAACTATTGATCCCACCGCTGTTTCACATGTTTAATATTAGTCTACTGGCCGTCATCACTTGACCGGTTGTATTCCCTGTGTTCTCCCCCTTTCAGGTCAGCACAACATCCATACAGGGCCAATATTCAATGCACACTCAGACATCGTAGCAACTATGTCAACAACATCAGCGTCAATAGCGAGTTCCACCTCATCCGCTGTGTCTCCTTCATCGTCCATCAATGTGGTTGGGCGGGGTAAGTCGCATTTACTGACATGGGCTGATTGGTCATTGCTACAAATAACTGGCGAATGATGCAAACATTCCAGTTTGTAGAGTTGCCTGCTTGGTCAAGACTACCTGTCACAATCCCAATACCAAGTAGCGCGTGCCAGATAATGTGTGGTTAATATATCCAACAAATACCACATAATCTATGCTCGAGTTTAACCTTTTGAACTACTCATCCGCCCTGTCATTAAGTACTTTGGTATATTATACGGTAACATGAGAATGAACGACAGAATATTGCTCTAGAACGCCTACAGTGACATCCGATTATTAGGCATTCTGTCATGAATTATCGAGAGTGTTGCAACAAACATCAACCGGAAACACATTCGGTGCTTCGCAGCCAGCTTCCAAATCAGATAGTCGTCCACATGCCCGGTAAAGTACTAGCCTCTAGTTTCAGCCTGTTGGGCATCGTCAGTAGTGCGCATCCATCGGATCCATCAGGATTCGAACCCATGACCACCACCGGCTTGAACTGCCAGTCAGCAGCTTATGCCACTGGGCCACGGGGGACAGCTTCGGACCGTCATGATTTACAAGCTAACTGCGACATAGCGCGTCTTATCCTCCACTGCCATGCAAGTTACAAACGTTGCAGAGGACAGTGTTGGCCCCGAAAGACACGACGTCCACTAACAGTAGCTATGTACGACATAGCATTTAGAAACTATCAGGGCGGATATATTTGATGTACTCATGAGTAGGGGACTTTGGTATAATTAATTGACGGTGTTTCTCAGCCAGCTTCCAAATCAGATAGTCGTCTACATGCCCGGAAAAGCGCTAGACTGCAGTTTCAGCCTGTTGGGCATCGTCAGTAGTGCGCGTCCATCGGATCCATCAGGATTGGAACCCATCGCTGTAAAGCACCGTCAATTAATTATATCAAAATCCCCTATTCATGAGTACTTTAACTTCGACCATTGAACTTGTTGCTACTTTACAAACTGCTACACATGATAACCTATACCTATCTGCATTCAAGCGGAATGCAGCATAGCGCAACTAAAGTTTTTACACTGGTTATGTCAAAGGCTAGAACAAGCATGCGCTCTAATTTCTTCCTGGTCAGATATCGCTATCTGTGAAATAAACTGCCAATCTCACTAGGTCATGTGATAATGTGGCAACATTTAGAGTCAAATTCTCCAATTACGTTTACCTAAGTCTCATAATCACTATATTCGCATGGGAAAAACCCATGAGGGGCCCAAAAACATCTAAACGCCCTCGTTTCCAAACCTTGATTTATGCCTCAACCATCCACTTATACAAAAGTATGGTTATTTTTCTACCTATTGATTTGTGCCACTACTGACACCGTTTCTCGGATCATGAGAAGTATACATGTTATTATTATTATTATCATTTGTAATGTCACTATAAATGGGATATCCATAGACTCAAGCACTAAGTTGAGCCTATTTCACACCGTTGTTTGAAGTATCAGTTGCATTACCAAATCCATCCACTTTCTGAAGTTCTAAGTCTAATTATAGCATCCACGACTTCCCACGTATGAGTATTTGTGTGGATCGAGCGGCGGGGCCTAGGAGGCTACAACATCCGTCAACCAGCTCGATCATTGTCATCAACATACATCCTCCTACAGTTGACCAGTAACCAGTAATGATGACGGGGGAAGTCTTTCTCCATGTGTCCTTCACAGCTTGACACACACACACACTTCACCTCCGATGCTTATTTTCCAGACCTTATACATTGGGCTCCAATCACACTCTCTCTTTGGTGGCGAATCTCTTTTTCGTCGACCCTCCCCCTGTGTCTTTCTATTGTGTGCTAAGTGTTCAATATCACACTGTCCAGAATGCCCTCAATTCTCTCTCGATCCGCTGCGTTGTGTTCCATGCAATTATCCATCCTTTTTTAGGATTGTTTGGACCTCATCATCAACTGACATCCATCCCATGCGCTCTGAGGCCCCATCCCAGTGTAGATGCGTCCAACAAAACCGACCGTAATGCACCACCTGGTTCGAGTGGAACCGAACACAGCTCCATGCCTATTGCCCCTCCTCCCTCGGAGTGCTATGACGACAGACCGATCAAGCCCAGTGTATTGAGTTTGGGTGCCTTGGCAGTACCTGGTGGCGTACTGAACACCGACCCCATTGAGGTAATGATTCTCCCTTGACACTGGTCCTTCTATGCACTCGTTCACCGTTTGTGAGCTTCCCGGTTGATCTCTCTCTCTCTCTGGTGCTGCGTTGTATTTCTCTGCACAGATTAAAGCTTCTAACAGCGTTCGTGAACGTGCACTGCAGCGGAAGACATCGGAGCTTCAACGGCTCAAAAAGCGTCCCAGCGCAGTGAGTAACACTTGTCTTCAATATCTTCATCGCTGATTCCATTGGTATTTATCTGTCCAGTTGCACTTGTCTGGAATACAAAAGCAGTTCAGCCACAATGGACGTTGCGCGATTTGCAACCCGCGTCTCATCTGTCCGGTACACAGTAAGATTCGTGAACTATGCAGATGACAGCTACGAGTATCCGGCGACCGGCTCGCGCTCCCTCAACCCAAATCTCACTTTCGGTTGATTGCGTGGGTGGGCAAATTTGTCTGTCAGTGCACCGCGCAGAGTCGTGCCAACATTCAGTGGCTATAGATGCAGTATACGCCACGAAGCCATGCGTCCCCGCTATGTAATTACCTGTCTCGATGGTTTCAGGTCTCGCACTGATGCAAATTTCTGAATCTGTTTATCGGAATCATGCAGATCGGCGATTGCACCGTAGCTTGTTCCTGAATGAGATCATCTTTTTATCCGAACAAGGATAGTGTATCCAGTCATCTCTAACTAAGACTACCGGTCTCATGGAGCTAGTAATCGAAGTGACAACGTCAGATGCGTCAGATTTCCCGCCAACGTTTGGTGATGTTCGCTTCCGGATTCGCCTGTCACTGTGACCGCGAGCAACCGAGATGTTCGCACCGCTTCTTCACGCTGTGTAGCCTTCTGGCGAGTACAAGTAGTATGGAGAAATGTAAAGCCGTTTGTTAAATATTATTACAGTGAGGGCAGAAATAAGGTATGCAGGAAGAACGTTGCACAGCTAACGTACTCGAATGGGGAAGAAATACGATCACATTCCAGTAAGTTAGAATGCGTGTCTAACTTTAACTGAGAGTCTATGAATGTTGAGGTTCTTCGGGATTTGGTAGACCATTATAAGATCAGCTTTACAGGCACCGATATTGCCCGCTGTACATACTGTGAAACTGATTTAAGTTAGTAGGGGGTTGTGCGACCAAGTTTAATTACATCGTGTATCTGGTCCCGTGCGTCACGGTGGCTGGTATCTTTCCAGACTTTTTGACTTGTTGTCTTATTCGGGTGCGAGATCCATACTGGTTCACTTCACTGAAATCTTCCAAATCTGTTTACTATTCCTCCTACTACTGATGATACGGGTAGTCGGATAAAACTGTGTTGGGGCAGATAGACAGAGTTCATGGTTGGAAAGATAGTCCATGGCCAAAATGTCACAACGATTGTATTGAAGAACTGGGTCGGGGTCGAGGGCGTCACCACCTGTTGGCACTTCCCCTCTCGATTTTCGTGTTTTCCTTCAAGTGTCCGTACTTCCCAGCCTCTTTTTTCTCTCGGGTTTCAATCTTCTGTAAAGCATGATACATCATTTTTATTTGCTGACGATATTAAAATAGTCTATAAGCTTCGGCGTGACGTGCTTCACTGGACATTACTGCTCATTCAAGATGATTTACATTCCCTTGACTCATGGTGCTGCACATGACTGATGAACTTCTCACCTAAGAAATCAAGCCTCGTGTCTTACGGCTGCTGCATCCCCGAAGTATCTATCACCCTAAACAATGTACGTGTCCCTACGCAGTTGCCCACGCGAGATCTTGGCATTAGGTACTCGCCTACCTTCAATTTTTCCGAATAGACCCAATACTAATAGCACATGCCAGACGGTCTATGTTCAAGTTATCAAACAAAAAACACATAACTCGTGCTAGAGTTGAGTTTCTCAAGCTACTCTCTCGCCCCATCCTCCAATACTGCAGCATAATATACGGAAATATAACAAAGAGTGACAGAATTGCTGTGGAGAACCTGTAGAGGTCATTTACTAAACATCTGATTGGTAAACACTGCTATGAGTTATCGAGAACGTTGCAATGAACTTTATCTCGAACCACTTTGGATTCGACGATTGAAACACAACTTGTTACTACTTTTCAACATGTTACACATAAAGACCTAATCCAACCTGCCTACAGACAATTTGCAACATTTCTCAACTCGAGCGCTTCGTCACAAAGATTTTACACTGAACGAACGTCCACTCTGAGTTCTTCCTGGTCAGATACAGCTATCTGTGGGATAAACTACCAATAACACTCAGACCATGTGATAAGGTGGCAACATTTAGTAGCAGACTCGCCAATTACCTTTATCTAACTACCCTAAGCTCTATATTCACATGGGAACAATCCCTCGATGAGCTATTCCAAGGGGCCCAAAAACTTATGAACACCAATGTTTTCATAACTAGGCTTTGACCTCAACCCTCCGCCAGAATGTTAACACATGAAACGCATATCCCAATACTCCACCTATGCATGTCACCCATGCAAGAGCATGGATTCTTCTGTACAAATTGATCTGTGCCGCTATAGACAGTTTCTCTCATCAAGAGCAATATGCGTATTATTATTATTGTTATTATTATTACTACTATACCGTTAGTGTATTTCCTTTATTACGGCGTTATTATGACTGCTGCACCCATGGCACTGTAGACCTCAAGTCTCCCGGTTGGTCAACTCAACTGAATGGAACTACCTTCTCTACTTTATCATATCGAATATCGCCTCTAACCGCCTGGATATCCAATCCAGTAGCCCTCATCCAGTATGGTGTGCCCAGCGTAACTACCTTTCATCTTCCCTCTACACATCCTCGACTGACTATCCTGTGACTCACCGAGGACGACGGTTAGCACACATCTACGCATCACAACCTAATCAGCGTAGGAGTTCAGTACGACCTTAGTAAATTTCCCGCCTTAAAATAGGTAGACGATCCAGACGCGAACAGCCCTTCACGGCAGTCTGACTCGATCGGTCTTCTAATGTCTCTGACACAGTAATTTTGTCTGGTATCCTTAGTGCGCAGCTATCTGCGCTCGCAGCGTAGTGTCTCCTGCCGTTAACTGCGGTTTTGACATCTTACCATTACCGTGAATCTTTTCTGTTTTGAAAAGCCCCACACGTCTGTATCAAGCTACCCAGATAGGTGGACTTATCGGTTAGTTCGATTAACCGTTCGGTGACCGTGCAAACAGGCGGCATATCACCCCATATCGAAAGGCGCAACGCACTACTCACACTGTTCGGTGCTGGATCCGACTCCCCCCCCCCGTAGTCAAACTCTGCTGCATCTGCAATGATGGGCGCACTGAAGTCAGTTTACGTGTTGCGAAAGCTAGAACTACCTTCTTAATTCTGCAACATTTTTCACGACGGAACTGGTTATACCTCGGTCTGAAAGGTCGTGTTTACATGGCAACAATGAGGGCCGTCCTTCCCTATGGGAATTAAGCGCCTTCAAGTCTTTGATCATCGCTGTCTGCAAAGCATTGCTGCTGTTTGGTGGAACCATCGTGTCCACAACGATTATGTCCGTAGGCGAGTGATAGACAGTGGTAATCAGGTTAGTTCCTTAGAACAACAGATAGCACTGAAGAAGCTGTGTTGACTTGGGCACGTACTACGTATGCCTGGTCACCACTTACCTAGGAGGGCCTTTTTTAATCTGTCTGATGTAGGGTGGCTCAAGGTAAATAAAAATTGACTTGGCAGCGGGAAATGAAGTCACTGACGACCAAACTAGGTGCCGTCGGTCTGTCTCGCCTTCCGCGCTGGAGTCCACATGACCTGGCTTATGCTTGGCTCGAGACTTTGCAGGAATTGCCTCGCAGCCGACACCAGTGGAACATCTTCTGAGACTCCTAGTCGGCTGGGGTGCTGAGTGGTGGTGCTGCGTTATCTGAAGGGTAATGGCTAATAATGATGCGGGGCAGTGAAAGGTGCAAGGAAGCTGTCTCGCGGATACCGCCTTATCATTGCACTTTAGTCAGCTGTTTGTGACCGTATGTTGTTGATTCTTGATCCTTGCTTAGAGCATTAAGGTTTTACGCTGTGCCCCCTTCTGTTCCATTTTTTATTCTTAGTTACGTTTTTGGCCCTTAGCCTTAAGGACCACGAGCCTGCCTTGTAATCCGCGGACGCGGGTTCGAGCCTGTGTAGGGACGTGGCGACCCTCGCAGTATCCTTCGCCCATCTGCGATAGGTGTTGGTTGCGCGGCAGCGAAACGCCGGAATGCAGTACCGGTGCACTGCTGATACCATTTTACGTTGGTCACCATGGTAGAACGGCAGCGAAGTATCGGTTCAGAGGACTTAACTAGTGCTGTTAATGATGGTGAGGATGCTTTCATGGTTTGTAACAGGCGTGTCTTATTTTTACCTCTGACGCGTACATCTGCGGTACTCAAGGCAACAGCAAGCTATTGACTATTCTCCATAACGTTGATGGTTCATTCACACTCTTCTGATTTGTGTACTCTTTCTGATTGCTTACTGGTGTCCTCTAGACTGCTTTTTATTAATTTTGGTGGGGACATTTCATACCGCGTCCAATTTCCCTGCTTTTTTCTATATCCCGATATGGTTCACGGCATCCGTTTGCGGTTTCGCCTTTCATTGTTACTGCGAACAGCTATGGGACGTCTTTGGCTACTGAGAAATTAACGGCGGCTTGCTGTGCCGTCACCCATTACTCCATCCACACACAGACTGCATATCCAGCATACATTCGAAAGAATAAGACTGGGAGGCTTGTAGATGGGAGCCACGTTTCATCAATTGAGCCGGCTCATACCCCTTCAACGTGCACACAATTCATCCATTTGCTCGGAAGGAAACATACATCCCAGACGTACAGAAGAATGTGCTTGCGCCGTAGTCTGTTCCACGCTGAATGGAACCACTCGTTGAGTCTAGCACCATCGCTAGCACCATGCACCCCTTCTCCTTCGGAAACGATTAACGGTTTCCTGAGACCGGTGATCGATACAGTGGCTTCCCATAGGTGAAGCCCTGTCAACATTCGCATCAGGCGTAACCCATCTGACACACCAACTTAAAAGGACCGTCAGAAAAGCGCAAAGACCAACAGCAACAACGATGCGGCACATGTGTTACAGCTACCGCATTTTCAGTCTGGGTTAGGGAATGGTCCCGAAGCCCTAAACTTATACATCTAACGTGCTT